TCATTGAGGAACAGTCAGGTAAAGTAAGAAACATTCCCAACCTCAGCTGTATCTGAGTTGGTGGAGAAGCAACTGGAAAGTGTATGGCCTGTTGATACTGATAGGGGAACATCACTACTTAGAATATTCTTTGTGAAGAATCTCAGTCTACAGGAAAAATAGTGATATGTATGATGCATTATTTTAGAGGTCAGAAATAACCCTAAAGCTACAATGTAAGAAATTGAGAAAAATGAGGTAAAACCAGTGGAATCCCCCTCTCCCCCCAAATTTACTGTTGGATAGGCTTTGGCAAATTCATTCAGTGTAGGAACCACCACAATCAAGAGCCAATGTGTTACCATTGTTTCCAGGCTTGTCTTTGTATGCTTTGTAGTCATTCCTGATTTCCCTATAGCTCCTGCCAACCATTGTCTTGCCCTGTGTTCAAATTATTTTGTCATTCCTAGCACTGATTATAGTCAATTGTATAGGAGTTTATTTCTGACTTTCACTTACACTAATATTTTGCAGTATAGCCATGTTGTAGCGTGTCTCAGCATTCATTGCCTTGTTGCTGATTGTGGTTTGGGACATTAGGAGCAGAACTGCTTTATTTAGTTCTTTGTATAAGTCTTTAATAGATACTCTTGCTGCATCCAGTTTAGCAAGCAGTGATGTTTGAGATAGAAAGGCCAAAAGTCTTGTGCTCTGATTACCTCTTTACTTTAACTCTTATGAAACGCTTATGATGTTGTTTGTTGCCTTCCTTCCTGCAGGCCTCTGGAGGAGCCCAAGGTGATCTCGGCTTTCTCAGGAAAGCAGGCTGGGAAGCACGTGGTGCACATAGCCTGTGGGAGCACATACAGCGCGGCCATCACTGCAGAGGGGGAGCTGTACACTTGGGGCCGTGGGAACTACGGCCGCTTGGGTCATGGTATGTCTGCTGTACAAGAGTATAATCGTGAGCTAGGAGGAGCTTGCTTCTTTTGAGAGGCATTGACAATGACAGTTGTATCTGTTTCAAGGCTCCAGTGAAGATGAGGCCATTCCAATGCTGGTGGCTGGACTCAAAGGACTAAAGGTCATCGATGTTGCATGTGGGAGTGGGGATGCTCAAACCCTGGCCGTGACTGAGAACGGTATGTAGAGCTTGTGCTGCCCTGGGCAGTTTCTTAGGGATGTAGGTGGCTGATGCCTGGATGAGTGCGTTTTTGAGTTATATGAACCTCTTTAGGCTGCCCTCCCTGGTTGGCGAGTGTATTGGTTACTTTTTTGTTGCTTTGATAAAGTACAATAACCAATGAAACTTGTAGGAGGAAGAGTTATTTTGGGTTATGCTTCCAGAGGATTAAAGTCCATCATGACTGAGAGACATAGGAGCAGTCAGGCAAGACAGCTGGAGCAGAACCTTGAAAGATCACATCTTGAATGCAAGCACAAAACAAAGATAACAAACTGGAAGGAGAAGCTCTTTACTCTCAAAGCCTGCTTGCAGTGATGCGGTTCTTCCAGCAGTCTGCACTACCACTTACGCCTTCCCAAGACAACAGCTGAAAACCTGGTGTTCAAATGCCCAAGATTATGAGGGACATTTCTTATTCAAACTACCACACTAGGATCTCAGTGGCTTCAGTGAAAAGCCCCAAGAATTTCCTAGGATTTGGTTCTCGAAAGCAGGTGGTTGCCTAGAGGTTACCACCTTTCCTAGTGGGTACTTTATTTTTTCACTAAAAATTTACAGCTAAATATTATAACTGACATTCTGAATTGTCACTATTAATATATCACCCAACATTTAGCCTCTATTGATTTATTGCAGCCAATCTTTCGTAGTCATTGTATACTTTACAATCTAGTGTATCTTATAAAATTGATGGTTTATGTTTTATTAGTGAGATTGAGATTACAATGCTTTTTTGTTGTGGTTGTAGTGCTGTGATTCTTGGTTCCAGGATCCAAGTACTTTACCATTGAAATTTATTCCTGTTTAACCGTAGTTATATATTTTTGTGTTTATTAGTGAGACAGTATCTTGCTAAGTAGCCCTGAATGTCTCTGAACTTATTTTCCTCTTGGCTTAGCCTCCATAGGGCTGGGATCACAGGGGTTTGTCACCATACATAGTGCATATGTATGTATGCATGTATGTGTGTGCATGTATGTATATGTGTGAGTATACATATACGTATATGTATATACATATGTATATACACACACACACACATACACGCACACACATAGAAAGTGAGAGAGAGATATCATGTAGTGGTTCAGGCTTGATGGTCAAAAATGCATCCATTTTTACAATGAATTTGTCTGTCTGCATTATGATGATTTCAGTTCTGTACCTTGTTAGTCCTTGCATCAACTGGGGAATTTCTTAGTTTGTTTTTTCCTATAGAGGTTGTTTTAAGGTCTTACTTCTGTAAACAGACACCATGACCAAGACAACTTGTAGACAACATTTAACTGGGCTGGCTTACAGGTTCAGAGGTTCGGTCCATTATCATCAAGGTGGGAGCATGGCATCCAGGTAGGCATGGTACAGGAGGAGCTGAGAGTCCTATGTCTTCATCTGAAGACTGCTAGAAGACTAACTCTCAGGCAGCTAGGACTAGGGTCTTAAAGCACACATGCACAGTGACTTCACCTACTCCAACAAGGCCACACTCTAGGCCAAGCATATACAAACCATCACAGAGGTTGAATGGTGTGTAGAGAATTGACTATTGAGAATGTCTTTGGTGCAAGATAAACTCTTCAGCACTTCCCTATCTACCTAGAGCCTACCATTGATACATGCACATTTTCAGAATCACTGTGCTTCTGCTGCTTTTTGAATTCTACAGAGAGTAGTCATCTGAAAGGTCCCTTCATTATTTGTAAATGTCCACTATTGACTGAGTCATATTTTACAAAACTATTAGCTAAGATGGTTTTGTTTTGTGACAGAACCTTGCTGTTTTGTCCAGTGGGCCTTGAACTCTGGGGCTCCTACCTTCCTCAGCTTTCTGAGTGCTGGGATGACTGTGCAGTAGTTACACTTTCTGGCTAAGTTAGGCAAGTTGTGCTTGGGTTTTATCCTTGGTATTCCGTTTAAACTTTCTGTGAGGAAAATTTTGTAAGGATAAAATGTTTGGGACTAGGAATAAGGCTATAAATGTTGCTCATCTCACACTTGAGCTTTTTTGGTGCAAGTCTTTCGGAGAAACATTTTTTCCGGATGATTGTGTTCTGAGGTGACTGGTGCAGTAGAAGCATCCTGCCTGCCTTTGCAGTCTTGTCTTGGGTGATAGGCTTGATGAAAACATTGGCTTAAGTGTAAGTGATAGAATTTTAGACAGGACATATAAAATTAGGTTCATATTCTAAGATATATATGTACACTGAGTTTATTTTCCCCACTGATCAGTGAATAGTGTATTATTTACAGTTTTCAGTTTAGATGAGGGATTAGCCTAGCTTGATAGCTAGCATTATATTGGAATGCATCCAAATTAGCTTACTTCTGTGTTGTTTCTGACTCTTTTCTAGTGACAGTGGCATAATTGGGTCCTTATTACAGCCTGTATTACCGACAAAGGCTAAATAAAAATATCTTGTTTTTAAGAAAAAGTATATTGATCTTTGGTTTGGACAGTTGAAAGCAGAATGAGAATAGAGTTATTTACAAGCAAGCTGAAAGTTTCATTCTGTCTTTTTTCTTTTGGACTTCCTCTTACAGCTTTCTCTAGTGTGTAACTGAACAGTTTTTTCCCCCAATTTACTCAGGGTTAGCAAATTATTCAGCTGAATTTTAAAGACCACTTTTGTAATTTATTGTATCTTTCTATGTCATTTAATTAAATTACATGTACTGATACGTGTTGTGCCTTTGGGAAGCACTACAGTGTTGTGAGGACATCACAGTGTAGACAGACTCAGGGTGGTCTGTAAAAGGCAGCATTGACACACACCTCAGTACTCATGTTTATGGAGCAGTGGGATTTTGTTCTGTGTTTAGAATTTAGCTCCAGCAGCAGCATTGGTCCCAAAAAGTAAGAGTCAGAATTTTGTTTTCCATTTAATCTAAATAAAAAGAAACTCCAGTTTTTACTTTTAAAATAAGATTTATTTATTTGTATTTTATGAGTATGTATGTTTTGCCTTTAAAGTATGAATGAGAAATGTGTGTGTGTGTGGGGGGGGGGTCAGGTGTACCTGAGGAAGGCAGAAGAGAATGCCAGTCCCCTGGAACTGGTGTGTATGTGTGTGTGTGTGTGTGTGTATGTGTATGTGGTACCTGAGGAGGGCAGAAGAGAATGCCAGTCCTCTGGATCTGGAATTTAGGATGGTTATGAGTGCTGAGTGGGAATCAGAATCCTCTCAAGAACATAAGTGTTCTAAACCACTGTACCATTTCTCTAGCTCTTGTTTATGATTTTCTTAATTGCTAATATATCAATCTGAAATATAAATTAGATTATATTTAGTCAATAATCTGTGTAGTGTTAACTCTCTATATAGGTAAGATTGATTCATGTGTTTTATGGGTTGTATTATTTTCAGTCATTTAAAACTTCCATTATGATGTGCAATGATTTTTACTTAAATGTATTTGTAATTTGTGTTTTCTAGGCCAAGTGTGGTCTTGGGGAGATGGTGACTATGGGAAGTTGGGTAGAGGTGGAAGTGATGGCTGCAAAACCCCAAAGCTGATTGAAAAACTTCAAGACTTAGATGTCATCAAAGTGCGATGTGGAAGTCAGTTTTCTATTGCTTTGACAAAAGATGGCCAAGTTTATTCATGGGGAAAAGGTGACAATCAGAGGCTTGGGCATGGAACAGAAGAACATGTCCGTTATCCCAAACTCTTGGAAGGTTTGCAAGGTGATTGCAGGAGTGAAGTTAACCCTTATGGATCTATTCTTTAAAAATTCTTTTCTTACCTTATATCCAGTGGGTGGAGTATCATTAGCAATATCTTGATAGCTGTAAATAATGGAAAGTGGCTTATCTATTTTAATAAATGTCCTAAAATTATTCTTATCAAATTTAACTTTTAATTCATTTACTTTGAGACTTACTGTGCTGTGGAGTTATAGCAGGAAGTAGGCTTGATTTCTCCTGACTTGGTTTGCTATGACCTTGATTTTGGTGGTAAGGTATATGTGCTTGGTTATGGAATTGTCCAATGTGTATTGGAGTTGAGGGGGAAAGGGAAGTCCATGTGTGTGTGTGAGTGAGGGTCCTCTGTAGTGTGGTGCTCACTGTGGCATAGAGGGTGGATTGCCTTTGAGAGATCCTCACATAGTCTTAGGCATTCTTGCTAGGAATGACATGTTTGGAGATAGAGCCATTAAAACCATGGACTTTATAAAGGGAAACCTCTCCTTTTTTTCTCCATAATGTTTTGCCTAGTTGGGATTGTAGGTTGTCTCCATACTGTCCAAAGAGGGGGGTAGGGTGTGTGTGTGTGGGGGGGGGGAGGCTGGTAAAGTACAGATGAGCTGACAGGAAAGCAGAAAAGGGTGAAGTCAGTGAGTCAGGCAAGGTTAGTACATGCATGTTCATTGGTCCTTTTGGTATTTTATTTAGTTCAGAGTGAAGAACATTTTTAAAGGGCTAGCTCATTAATTGTTAAGGGAATAGTCCTTTTGTGTTTCCCTAAAAGTTTATTCACAGATACAGGATTTGGTCTGCATTTTGTTTCACAGATTCATTTCACTAATTCATCTTCCTTTCTCTCTTTCTGTTTCTTTAATGACAGGGTTTGGAAATAGGGCTTTTAAGGAGACTTGTCAGTCCTGTGTTCATCAGTTTTATTTTATAGCATGTTAATACTTTAGTCAGTGGGAGTCTTCTGTACTTGTCAGGTGTTTTATTCCCAGGCCTATGAGATAAGTGGTAAAATGACACAGTTCACTGTATTGCACAACTCTGTTGGAATTCAGTTGACCTCTTAAATTTTTCTCCATTCATACAGAAAATCTAGGTTTCTAGTTATTAACTAGAATTTGTTTAATGCTTTACTATAGAAATACTTAAATTATTATTGATGTTAATTTATAGTAACTCAGACTTATCAGGTAACACTTTTTTTCAGCTGACTTTATTGACATTATATGGAAACACTGTTGATTATGTTAGATTTACCTACAAGAAGAGATACAATGCTTTTCTAACAGTACACAAATAGAAAAATGTTCACGCCATGCGACTTTGAGAAAAGAAAGGCTTCCTTTTAAGAAAAGGCCTTTAGTGAAGAATATGCTTTGCATGGTTACGTCTGGGGTACTGAAGAAAAAAATATCTATAAACTAGAAATACCATTTTCCCACCAACGTAATTAAATGTCAGAATTAGTGGAACAAGGGTTGGTGAGATGTCTCAGCCAGTAAAAGCACTTGCTGTGCAAGTATAGTGATCTGAATTTGATCCCTGGAACCCCCATAAGGGTGGGAGAAGAGAACTCTGCATACTTGCCCTGTGACCCCTACATGTGTGCTGTGGCATGCCCTCTCCTGTCCAGTAATCAGTCAGCTAATCGGTCAATAAATATGAGAGTATTTTGTGGCCAAGCATGTTTAAAAAACAGTTTCTCAGGAAACCTATCTATTAAAAGAGCCAAAGGAGTGCTGCGTTAAGTGTTTTGGTTTTTTAGGTTTTTTGGGACAGGGTTTAAAGCCATCAGGAGTTCTTGAACAGTACAGATGAATAAGTGATCAGGCTTTCTTGAGATCTTTCTAGTTAATTGCAGGGTGTATCTTTTTATGGTGTGTGTATATATCTATGTGTCTATGTGTATCTTATCCCATATGAACAAGACTAGGGATAGGAACTTAAAAAAAATCATACTTTCTTTTTGATTAAAATTCTGAATAAGGAACAGAAAAAAAAAGACTTCATACTGTAGCTCTAGCTTATTTGTAGACTGTTATTAATAAATCATAATTGACAAGACATGACATAGCATAGTCATATCAAGTAAATTGAACTTCATATTGAAGGTTGTGTTACTTATCAGAAGTTAATATTGACTGCTTTATGTTCTTCTGTAGCTGTGAGCAGATGTCCTTCTAGGACTTACAGCCATGGGCTGAATGGTGTAACTGTGCTCGTCTCTTCTCTAGGGAAGAAGGTGATTGATGTGGCTGCAGGCTCCACTCACTGCCTTGCTCTGACAGAAGACAGTGAGGTGCACAGCTGGGGGAGCAATGATCAGTGTCAGCACTTTGACACTCTCCGTGTCACCAAGCCAGAACCTACTGCCCTACCAGGACTGGACACCAAACACATAGTTGGAATTGCTTGTGGGCCTGCCCAGGTACTGACTGCATAGTTAGGTTTGGTGTTTTGTACAATTTTATTTTACTTTCCAAATGGTCACTGCTAGTATGTAGAAATACGAGTGTTTGTCCTTCTGTCTTGCAGTTGTTCCACAACAAATTACTACGTTTAGTTCTTTCAGCTTTTTTTTCTATGCATTGTAGAGACAGCATATTCCTGCTCTCTCTTCCTCCCACCCTCTATCTCTTAATTGTTGGCTGTGAATTACTTCTTTTTTTGGGAAGTACTCTAAATGGATGCTGAAATTTGTTTAAATTTTTTTTCTGACATTATGTAAATTAAGTAGTCTTCATTTTGGAAAGTACCGGTTTTCAAATATTGACTAATCTCTGCATTACTGCTATAACTATTGGTCATGGTATTTTATCCTTTTGATGTTTATAGGTTTTACTTGCTAATATTTTGTTACTATTTATTTGTGTGTGTGTGTGTGTGTGTGTGCACACGTGCACGCGTGCGCTCATGTGTGCTCACACTCATCAGGATTGTTGGCATCCAGCTTTCTTTGTGCTGTCTTCTTACTTGATTTCTATAAGGCTAAAGCTGGCCTCATGAAAAGAACTAGGGTACTTTCCCTTGTGTCTTCTAAAAGAAATTATGTACAGTGCTATTTCTTTAATTGTTAGTGAATTAATCTGAGTCTAGAAATATAATTAGAAATACAATTTCATTAGAAGTTCAATTTCTTTAACAGGAAAAGAGGCATTCCTGGCTTCTGCTTCATGGGTTTTTTTTTTTGTTTGTTTGTTTTTTTTTTTTTTTTTGTAATGCCCCTCAGGAATTGTTCCATTCTGTTATTGTTGTCCAGTTAATGGATAAAGGGTTTTTTGTTTGTTGTTTTGTTTTTTGTTTAATTATCTTGAATTTTTTTTATATTCTAGTCATTATCCCCATCCTGATCTGCCCTCAGTCTGCCCTCTGACAGTTTCTCATCCCATTCCTCCTCCCTCATCTCCAAGAGGATGTCTCCACTCCCTCTACCCCCACCCGGCCAGGCCTCCTCACTCCCTGGGGCCTCAAGTCTCTAGAGGGTTAGGTGCATATTCTCTCACTGAGACCAGACCAGGCAGTCCTTTGCTATATAAGTATCAGGGGCCTTGGACCAGCTGGTGTTTGCTGCCTGGTTGGTGGCTCAGTGTCTGGGTGGGTCCAGGTTAGTTGAGACTGCTGGTCTTCCTATGGGGCTACCTTCCTCCTCAACTTCTTCCAGCCTTTCCCTAATTCAACCACAGGGGTTTCTGGCTTCTGTCCATTATTTGGATGTAAGTATCTGCATCTGTCAGGGTCAGCTGCTTGTTGGGCCTCTCAGAGGACAGCCATGACAAGCTCCTGTCTATAAGCACACCATAGCATCAGTAATAGTGTCAAGCCTTTAAGCTTCCCATTTACATGGGTCCCAATTTGGGCTGATTGTTTTGTTTTTTTAAGTATTCTCTGACTAAGCATTTGAGGTCATATGCCACTTGGATACTAGTAATATATATATCTTTTTTGCTTTAGTTTTTCCCCTGATTAGAGGTTTAATTTTATTGATCTTTTAAAATGATTATTTTCAATTCAATTTTTACTTCTTATTTTTTTCTAACTATGTTGTTTTTTCCTCTTTTTAAAGTGTCTTTCACTTCAGCTTGCTTGGGCTCAGTTTTCAGGTTACTTAAAGTGGCATCCTGGGTTATTTGGTTTAGCCCTTTTTTGTCTCTATGCATTTGATACTATAAAATTTCCCTCTAAGTAAACTGTTTCTAGGTGAACTGTTCTCTGACTGCCAGTTAGGTACATTATACTGATGGTATAATTCAGTTTCCTTCTTAGGAAGGTTGTGTATGCACTAATATGCCTTATACTTAGAGTTGTTGTTGTGCCACTGTAAGTGGGTTGAGTGCTCACTCCCCGCCATTAGTGTAGATTTGTAATTTTGTGAGTGAAAGTTTGGAAAAAGCTTTATATTTTTTTAGGTGTAGAAATGAGGTGGTATGGTGAAATAGGAGAGGAAATTAGAGATAGTTTATAAGCTAGACAGCCGTGATTTTGGAGATGAAGAGGGATGAATAGGTAACTTTAGATATTTTCATCTCACTGAGTGGTAAACAGTTTCTTCAGTGGAACACACTGTTGATGAACCTACAGATTTCATGTTAGGTCTTTTTTTTTTCTTGCACAGAGCTTTGCATGGTCATCTTGTTCTGAGTGGTCCATTGGCCTTCGTGTCCCTTTTGTAGTGGACATCTGCTCAATGACTTTTGAGCAGCTGGATCTCCTGCTGCGGCAAGTCAGCGAGGGAATGGACGGCACTGCTGACTGGCCCCCACCACAAGAGAAAGAGTGCATGGCTGTGGCAACGCTGAATCTTCTGCGACTGCAGGTAGTAATTCTTTGCTGGTTTCCTGTCCCTTTATAAATGCCTCAGGAATTTCTGAGTGTATTCATGAGTATAGAATGTGGGAATTTTAGCCCGTTTGGTGAACTGATAATAAAACATTGAAAGTACTTTAAAATAAGATTATGATGGAGTTATGTGTAAGGCTTTTAATACTTGATCTTGTTTTGTTTTTCCTGGAAGTCAGTCTTGCACATAGGAAAGAGTATGTACAGATTATGTCAGTTATTTCTGCCATAATCACCTTCCTGACATTCATGTGGGGAGAGTATGTAGAGAGAAATGCCTGAAACAGTAGATAAAAGAGAGGGGTAAACCAGTTGAGAGACCAGTGCTTCCTGGAATTTCTTTTGGACTGTGAAAGCTGTATTCAGTAAGTTTGGCTCCCTACGTCAGTACCTTCTCTTCCTCACATGGGTATGCAAATTACCCAGCCTTTTTCCTAGTCTCTCTTTCTTACCCTTGTAGCATGATCCTAAACTCCCTTTTCATCATATTAGATATAAGGTATATTGTTATTTTGTTTGTTTCTGAAAGAGAACATTTCCAATTACAATTTTAGGATATTGTCTGATTTTGAAAAAATGTTTTTTTAAAAAAAATTATGTGTATATATGTGTATCTGTGTATGGGTATGCAAGTAGACATGCTAACTTTAGGAAATGGTCTGATTTTATAGATTGTAAAATAGTAACAAAAGTACTTTAGGGCTGGTGTAACAGTATAATTATTTTTTAATTTTTCTCTAATAGAATTTTTAAAGATACCGTACTCAAAATATAGTCCTTTGTTTTCCCAGTAGCCGGTTGACTTTGTCACCAGTGCTAATATACCCTGTCTTCTGTGATCAGATCATTTCCTCAGAGTCCTTCTTATAAACATTTTCTTTTTCACCCTTCAGTGCATGTGAGATTAAAGTTTGAAAAACGTTTGCTTATTTTAGCTTTTCAAGATAATTTATTAAGTTAGAGGGGGATCCACCCTCTCAATTCTAGGAATGAATCTATGGCATCACACATGCTCAGCAAGTGTTTGCCACTCAGCTGCGTCCTGGCCACAGGTCATCTCCTTTTTTATTAGCACTTGGAAAATGTTCTACTGAAAATAGGTCTTCTATTCTTGATGAGAAGTCTTTCACTCGTACACTTGATCCTTTGTAGCTAATACATCTTTCTCTTTGGTAGCCTTTCAGGTGTTCTGTCTAGGTGAAGCCTTTCTAAATGTAACTTGAGGCTATGGATATTACTTAGCCTGAACGCTCATGTTCTCATTAAGTGTGAAATTCTTCTCTACCTTTAATCTGTGTCCCCCCAGAGAATACCTAATAGATATGTTGAGTTTCTTTTTATTGTCCCACCTTTCATGCCTTCCTTGGTAGTTTTAAATCTCTTTGTCTCTTTCATCATTCATCTCTCAATCTTACTGTTCTAAGTGGTTGACTCATTTCTTCAGTTCCTTTATCTCAGTAGACCCTGTTACTGAGTTATTTAACGATTGTTTGTTTGGAGTCCTGTATAAGATGGTGATTTGAGCACATTTTCCTAGGCCCATACAACTGGAGCCTCTGTGTATACAGCCCAAAAAGCATGACTATTAGGGCAGGACCTAGAATGCACAAGGGGCACAAAGGAGCTCCCCTGGCTCTGCACACCTCTGTCTCAAGGGTTCTGTTGTTGAAACTAGTTTTGCATTTCTAGAATGTGGTCAGTTTTGAAGCCTTTGTTTTTATCACAGTATTTTTGTCTTCTGGTGTCTGCCTTATTATTGTTGTTTTTGTTGTTGTTGTTGGTGGTGGTTTTTTGAGATAGGGTTTCTCTGTGTAGCTCTGGCTGTCCTGGAACTTGCTCTGTAGACCAGCCTGGCCTCACACTCAGAGATCCACCTGCCTCTGCCTCCCAAGTGCTGAGATTAAAGGTGTGTGTGCCACCACCACTCTGGTTGTTCTCATTTTTCTAAGATTTATTTTTATTACTTTTGTTTATATGAATTTGTTTGTATGTCTATATGAGTGTATGTGTATGGCTGCTCGTGTTGGCCAGAAGAGGTCATCAGATTCCCTGGTGTTGGAATTACAGGTCATTGTGAACATGAGGACATGGGTATTGGGAGTAAAACTGTGTCCCAAATTTATAACTGAGTAAACTACTGAGCCATGGTTCCAGTTCTAACCTTAATTAAAACATTTTATATTACATTTATGCATTTATGCATTTGTGTGTATTTGTGTGTGTGTGTGTGTGTGTGTGTGTGTGTGTGTGTGTAGTCAGAAGGTAACTTGTGGAAGTCAGGTATCCATCTACCATGTAGGTCCTAGTTTAAGTTCAGGTTGTTAGGCTTGGTGGTAAGTGACTTTTTTGGCTACGCAGTATTACTGGCTCTCTGATCCTTAACTTCTAAGAATGTTTTTCATATAATTATATGTACTTTTTTCTCATCCTTTTTTAATTGCCACCATCTCCAGGGACATAATTTTCTTTGACAAAGATTGTTTCTCATGTTAGTGTGCTGCAGATAATGCCTTGCTCCTTTTCATAGTGACAGCAGTTTCTCTTTAGTTTGGTCAAGGTGACCCTAGAAGACAGTTTTGTATTTGCTTGAGTTGTGTTCTAGTGTTTTACAGGTTCTCCTCTTGACCTCTGAACTCTGTGCTTAGATGGATAGTACACTGTTATTGCATAGCTACTCAAAGGGCAGGCTGGCTCCCTGCTTTCTTGTGCACTAGATGCTTTGCATAGGAATAGTGTGGCACCCAGTATTCTGGCAGATATCTAGGGAAAGCTCAGGTTTAGCAGGTGGTTGTGAGGAGCTTGGGAGCTGCTCTTCTGTTCATTGGATGGCTGATCCAAAGCCCAGCCTGGGCCCTGATTTTTGAAAGCAGAACCTTTGGCTCCTACCTTTGTCAGTGTTCTTGTTTTGCCCTGAGGACTTTGCTTGTGTGCTGTACTTTGGCTATCTAGTTTTAAACGGCAGTTGGTTCCAGGCATTTTTCTGTTGGGTGCAGACTGTTGGGGATTGCACTGATAGTTGCTGCTTCTACATTGATTAGTCCTTTGTGCTGATCTTGTATTTTGCAGTTGCATAGTCAGAGCTGGGTAAGACATTGTTTTTGTAAAGTACTTTTACAATGAGATTTCCCAGCTGGTTAAAAAAATTTGGTAGTTTTTAAAAATTCATGTAAGGATCAATCTTTCTACTCTGAAAATTAAAATTTGAAATGGTCCCAATTTTAAACTTTTTCAGTATTAACCTGATTCTGTAGATGGAAAATTCATTGTATGCCAACTACTTCATGTGTAAAAATATTTAAAATAATGTAGCTATGCATGGTGGCCCATGGCTTTAATCCCAGCACTTGGGAGGCAGAGGAAGATGAATTTCTGTTGAGTTCAAGGCCAGCCTGGTCTACATAGTGAGTTCTAGGACAGCAAACAAAGTAATGTATAATTTATGTCCAGGCTACATGTATAAGGTGTATATGAAGCACAAATAAATTTTGTGTAATACACGAGTCCTTTAAGTTACCTCCTATGTTTGAAAATATTCCAATATCTGAAACATCGAAGCATTTGGATAAGGGATATCAACTTAAACTGAAAAGTTAATTTTTTTATATGATTAAATTTCAAATTTAACTTTATTCAGTCTTTTATTAGCATTTTGAAAAATACATTTGCTTTTGGATGTTCTAAATACTTTTTTTTTTTTTCCTTTTTATAGTTGCATGCTGCCATTAGTCACCAGGTTGACCCAGAATTCCTTGGTTTAGGTCTGGGCAGTGTGCTCCTGAACAGCCTGAAGCAGACAGTGGTGACCCTGGCCAGCAGTGCAGGAGTGCTGAGCACTGTGCAGTCAGCTGCACAGGCTGTACTACAGAGCGGCTGGTCTGTGCTGCTGCCCACAGCTGAGGAGCGGGCCAGGGCGCTCTCAGCACTCTTGCCCTGCACAGGTGAGCTTTGGTTAGGTGGAGAATTGGGCACCGATAGGAATGTGGGGAGGATGTGGGGTGGTACTGTCCACATTGCTAAAAAGAAACACCAAACTAAACAGAACAAAACCCCTCTTTTTTCAGTTTCAGGCAATGAAGTGAACCTAAGTCCAGGCCGTCGGTTCATGATTGATCTTTTAGTTGGCAGCTTGATGGCTGATGGAGGGTTAGAGTCAGCTTTAAATGCAGCCATTACGGCAGAAATTCAGGTACGGCCCTACAAGTACAGGGGAGTCGATGAGTGATTTTACTCAGTGTATTGTTGAGATTGAAAACTGTGTCCTGGGACATATGTAGGAATCATAACTATAATCATTGAAAAACCCAAAATGTAAAACTTTTAGTTACATACACATTTTTAAAATTTAAAACTCTTGTTTTTATTTGTGATAAAATAATCCCACCGTAATTGTCTGATGAATTTGATAGATCCTTCCATTACATAGATTATTTTCATCATCTTGGAAGATCCTTCCGTCCCTTTGCGTTTAGGCTACTCCCCACCTTTAGATTATCTGCCTTGAATGTCATGTAAATGGGATGGAAGGTAGGAGTGCCTCTTCTTTTGCCTCAATTCATGGTTTCTGTATTCAACCACATCACAGTTTATGTTACTACTTTGTTCTTATGATTGAGAATTCTTTCATACTTTTTATTGTTGAAAAGTCCTCCATCGAATGGTTGTAACACTTGTTTGGTGGCTTTAAGTCTACTGTGATCATTAGGATCATTAAGCTCATCAGGGGAGAAAGTGGATGCTAACTCTCTGAGCCTCTCTGAGCATGTATTTTCCCCATGTCTAAATACTTTGGGGAGGAATTAGCTAAGTTCTAGGATGCATGCTTATAGATTCTCAGATGGGCCCTGTTCCTTATATTTGTACAGCTGTGTGAAAGCTGCAGCTCTTTCCTGACTCTGTATGAGTCATCACATGCTTAGTATTTGTCAGAATTGGTGGCAAAGATTTCAGTGTCTTGGGGCTGGAGAGATGACTCAGCAATAAGAGTATTGGCTGCTGCTCTTCCAGATGACCTTGACTTGATTCCCAGCACTCATATACTGGCCTATAAGGTCCCAGTCAAGTTCTAGGGCATCTGATGTTATCTTTTGGCCTCTGGCAGACATGGGCACACATGCTGTCCAGACATACATGCAGGTATAACACTCATACACATAAAAAAAGAAAAAAGAAAAGAAAAGCAGAAAGAAAGAGCATACTATATTTAAAACCATAGCAACCAAGAGGTGATGTTTCTGACAGGATATATAGGTAGGTGTTGTCAGTTGTGTGCATCAGCATCTGAGGCTAAGACTGCTGTGGTGCTGATGAGGTCACTGTTCACCAGTTTGTGTTTTTGAATTTCAGGATATAGAAGCCAAAAAAGAAGCACAGAAGGAAAAAGAAATCGATGAGCAAGAAGCCAATGCATCCACATTTCATAGAAGTAGGACTCCTTTGGATAAAGACCTAATTAATACTGGGATCTATGAATCGTCTGGCAAACAGTGTTTGCCTCTAGTTCAACTCATACAGCAGCTTCTTAGGTAAGTAGCAGTAGCTGTGTTATCTTCTATTTCGAAGTTACTGTTTTAAACACTTAGTGAAATCTAACACTGAAGCCTGAGGAATGGCTTTAGCTGTTGAAGACATACTCTAAAGATTACCAAGGGTAGAGTTTAAGAGTGAAGAGAAGCCATGAGTAACAAGGGAGGATATGAAGAAGTTTGTACCACTTTACAATTGGATTATAAAAATATTTTTATGTCTATTAATAAGCAAGGAAATGCAAATTATAACAATTATGGCAAGGTACATTTTTTTATTTTTACATTTAAGTATGTTGATGTTCTGCCTGCATATATGTTTGTGTGAGGGTTTTAAATTCCCTAGAACTGGAATTGCAGATAGTTATGAACTGCCATGTGGGTTCTGGGAAGAGCAGCTCCTGTTCTTAACTGCTGAGTCATCTCTCTAACCCTCGCAAGGTTACGTTTTAACGAGGTTAATACTCATTGTTGTCAGCCAGTGTTACACACACACACACACACACACACACACACACACAGAAAAAAAGACAAAACCAGAGAACCTTATAAGAAAAACTTATAATTTTTAACTTAAATTAAAAATGGCAATGGTGGCGCATGCCTTTAATCCCAGCACTAGGGAGGCAGAGGCAGGCAGATTTCTGATTCCAGACCAGCCTGGTCTACGGAGTGAGTTTCAGGACAGCCATGGCTACACAGAGAAACCCTGTCTTGAAGAACAACAGCAAAAAGGCCAAGTCTGAAAACTGAGTTTATTTAGATAAATAAAATTAAAAAAAAAAGTAATGAAAGAATAGTGAGTGAGTGGTTCTTTGGAAAGCTGTTTTCAGACATAGTAAGGATGAAATGAACTCAAACTGTCATCAGTAGTTAACCTTGGGAAGGGCCGAAGCCAGACATAGTTGGATAAAAAGATAATTCAAAAAGTCAATGAAAGAAATCACATTGTGGGCTGGAGAAATGGCTCAGCAGTTAAGGCCACTTACTGGTTGTTCTTCCAGAGGTCCTGAGTTTTCCCAGCAAGCACATGGTGGCTCACAACTATCTATAATGAGATCTGATGCCCTCTTCTGGGATGCAGGTGTACATGCAGACAGAGTACTCATAGACATGAAAATAAATACATCATTAAAAAAAATCAAATTCTTAACATTCTGCTCTCTGAATCTAGGCTCTTTGTTTATTATGCTTTCAGTTTTGGGAGAGGAGGCAAAGGGACAGTCTTATATAAGCAGCTTGGCCTTGAATTTGCTGTGTAGATAAGTGCGGCCCTAAACTTCTGAATCTTCCTCTTCTTCCTCCTATCATGCCTAGATTGTATTTTATACTCATAAAGAGAGGAGAGCTCTAATGGGCTGGCCCAAGCAGTTGCCCAGACAGCAGGAGACCAGGTTGTGGCAGCAGCTGTGTCCATGTTTGCTGTAGGTAGGGTGGGTGTGCCTGCTCTCTTCAGTAGGTTAGTGGTGTAATTTTGGTGATTATATTTTAAAACTAATTGTTATTGTCAATTTTAGTAATAAAATGATAAAATTTTCAGTGATAAAAGCCAATAGAAAGGGCTGTACAGCTGGGGGTAGACTCAGTGATAAAGTGGTTGCCTAGCATGCATGATGGCTTCAATCTCTAGTACTCATTGAATAAATACACACACACACACACACACACCCAATAGTTTTTTCCTATATTGAGTTCATGTTGAAATGGTAAAATCTTCAAAGTATTTGAATGTGTTAGCTTTGTGTCACTGTGAGAAAGGATTTATTTCGACTCATGATTTCATAGGTTTTACTCCATGGTTGGTTGGCTCTGTTGCATTTGGGCCTGTGGTGCATCATGGTAGAAGTGTGTGGCAGAGCAAAACTGGTCCTCTCATGGTGGCTTGGATGTAAATGGGAAGATAGGAAGGGCAGGACTCCCAGTATTCCCTTTGAGGTGACAAAGTTCTCAGTGACCAAAGTTCTTTCTACTAGGTCCCATTTCTTCAAGGTTCTGCCACCTCCCAGTAGTGCTTACCTGAGGACTAAGTTTTTGCTAGCTGCGCTTTTGTGAACTGTCTCTCAAAGCTAGAGCATGGGGTAAATATATTAAATTTTGAGTATTTATTTTTACTTTTATTCATATGAGTAAAAATTACATATAGGTGCTCTTTCTCTAGGGTTTCTTTCTATTTAATAAGTGTATTTTTCATTCTTATGGCAGGTAGGTTCCTATGCATGCCACAGACTTATACCTGTTTTGCAGGAATCTTTGGAAATCAGAGAAGCCTTTTGAATGCCTCTAAATCTAGGCTGTTAAGTTAAGAATAGCATATATAATATGCTATTTTTGTATGAATAGACATGTTATTCTTCAAATAATGATCAGAAGATATTTATGTTGACTTGATCAGTTCAGTTTTTACAAAACAGTCTGAAAATGTAAGAGAACTTAGAAACATTTCCTGTCATTTATTTCTTAAAAAATGAGAGTTGATGAAATTGATCTTTGGTAAAAGTAATCAAGAACAGATTTCAGACTGATTGTTGAATTTTATGCTGCCAAGTACTACAGAGTGTTTTTACATGTGAAGGTAAACGAGCTCTGATGTCTCTGTAATAAATGAACCTATTAAACATTTGATGATAGATCTGAACTTTGTAATAAAGGAGATAAGTTAACATTTTTATACCATTAGTTCCTTAAGATATATCATTTTATAAAAGACTTATTTTATTATTTTAAATTATGTATATATGTGTGTGCCTATATTGGGGTATGTGCATGTAAACGCATGTGCACATGGAGACCATAGGCCTTAGATTACTTATGTGTGCTGAGAACCAAACTTGGGTCCTTATAACTTTGAGGCATCTTGCCAGCTCCACTCCACAAAGATGTATTTTGAGCGTGAGATTCTAGACCCATTTCTTCTGTTGCAGTGTTGTCAGGGCTACTGATCAGGTAGTGAGTTTGACAGGACCTCACTTTGTGTTTGTTGTAATGTGTGATCAGGGTGAGGTCCTACACTTTAGTAAATATTACAGTGTAAGTTAAATTGCTGCAGGAGCCCTAGCTACTCATTTTTTTCTTACTGTCCTGTCTTCATTCACATTGTTCAAAGTTTTATATCAACCACAGTATAGAAGCTATCAATATTTTTTTCAATAGTCTGCTGTTACAGTAGGAATTAAGAGGTGAAGTCTCACAAAACAGAATATGTGAAATTCTCAAAGAATAAACAAAAACATTATTATTTAAAAACAGAGGTGGAGCCTAAAATATGCCCTTAATCTTTTCTGATGTGTAGAAGTTCCTAGGCTGGTCTTCTGGAGAGCATGGTAGGTGTTGGTAGCCTTACATGTAGGGCTGCTGGGGTAGATCTGATTTGTGGCAGCCCTGGAACCAGGCTTGATTTTGGCTTTTTCTATTTCCCATCATTAATCCATTCCTTTCTTTCTGTTCTCTGTACCAGAGATCAGGCCTAGCTTTCTTGGGGCCAGGGTTGTGGTTACTTAGTAAGTATCCCATCTGGTGTTCTCTGTTCCCTCTAAACTGATTTCATGCTGACCTCAGTTACACCTTGCTTGTGTAGATAATAGCCCTCCTCCCAAACAAACAAACAAACAAACAAACAGCACTTGTAGCATTATGGTTCTGATGCTCCTCTCCTTCTGACCCTTGTTATTTCTACCTTTGTTTCTTTGTACCTGGCTCATAGAATAGGACTCTCCACTACTTTATAAACTTGGCAGAAGCTCATGACTTTCTTCCTCTCCTCATACTTGAGGGCTCAAGTCACAGTACATAGTAGGGACTGAAGCTGCTGCTTCTTGCTGAGATGTTTGGGCATCTAATCAGGGTCAATTTATACTCATTTTAGTATTCCTTCTTGTGTTCTCTGCTGAGAGGATCCCCATGCGCCATCCTTCAGCAGGTAAGTGTAGTGATGGGGTGCATCTTAACTTTTAGAACAAATGACATTTATATTTGAAGTACTGCTCTGGAGAAAAAAATAAGATTTGCTTTCAGACATTTGTATAGAACTTTAAGTTTTGAGCAGATCTGCTCTTATTTTGTCATTGATGATCTGGTAGGGCTTTATTACATCTTTGGGATCTGATCGGTTTAGAGTGAGGTGTGCTGCTGCCTGCAGATCCACCTCATACATTTGTTGGGTAACTTATGTATGGTTTGTGCTTCTCATAATTAGTTCATGTCGAGTTCTTTCCTTTGCTTTTTAACAGAAAACTTTGTTTTTTCACTTTCTCTTCCCTTACTTAGAAACATTGCTTCTCAGACTGTAGCCAGACTGAAAGACGTTGCCCGCCGCATTTCCTCGTGTCTGGACTTTGAGCAGCATAGTTGTGAGAGATCGGCTTCACTGGATCTGTTACTGCGCTTTCAGCGCCTGCTCATCAGTAAACTTTATCCAGGAGAAAATATTGGTCCAATCTCAGATACTTCCAGTAAGTTTTTTTAAAACATTAAAGTGTCTTGTACATTTGGAGCTTTTAAATTTTGTTTTTGTTTTGGTCTTCCCAGAATGTATATCCAAGTATGGTTCTCAAACTATATTAAATGTACCAATTGGAAGCTAAATTTTTAATCTTCTTTTTTGAACATATATATTTATACTAATCACTTTAAAAATATTTATTTATAAAAATTCATTTTTACGTATGTGAATTCCTTACCTGCAATGTCTATGTGTGTAACACATGTATGCTTGGTACTCACAGAGGTCAGAAGAGGGCATCAGGTTTCCTTGAACTGGAGTTACAGTTGTAAGTTGCTATGTGGATGCTGAACTGTCTCACCAGTGTTGGAGTATTATTATTTTATTTAATTGTCTAAGCATTTAAATTCTTAAGGCTATCAGGCATGTAATCAAATTCATTATCCCTTTAGTTCCATGATACAAAAAATAGTCAAAGACTGAGGGTAAATTGTTCTTATTTGAGTAAATAGGTAAACTATCTCTTCTTGGTAGTGGAATAGTAGAATAACTCAGTTATTGGATAAAATTTTTAGTATTTTTAGTAATGAAAATATAATTTTCTGAATCTTCCTTTAAGGTCCTGAGCTAATGGGTGTTGGCTCTTTGCTGAAAAAATACACAGCCCTTGTATGCACACACATTGGAGACATATTGCCTGTGGCTGCCAGCATAGCTTCTAGCAGCTGGCAGCACTTTGCAGAAGTTGCTTGTGTAATGGAAGGAGACTTTACAGGTACTTTTCTGTAGTGTTTCTTTCTTTTTCTTTCTTTCTTTTTAACCTTCTTATACTTTGACTGCACATATGTCAACTCATTTGTTATTTTAGGAGACTGGTAAAAGCTGTGCTGTATTCTTTACTGATAAAACTTTGTGTGTTCAACTTTATATTTTCTACCCCCCTTGTCTTTTTCCATCCTTCCTTCTTCTTTTCCCTTTCTCTTTTTGTTAAGTAACCTGGTAATGGAATCTTATAATACGAATGGGAATGTAGCAAGATGAATGCTTAGGATTTAATTTCATTTTGACAGTATAAAAATGAATTGCTGCTTTCAGAATCTTGTGCTAATTTTGTGAGATGAGAGCATTATTTTGTAGGGGTTATTTTCAGATGGTAAGAACATTACCGAACATGTACTTTTCTGAATAAATCGCACACAGGTGAAATAGGTCTGTGAAGTCCATGTGTTTTTGAAAAATATTCATGTTCCTTAAGAGTTCAGTCTTAAAGCTGTACTGCTCTCTTTAAAAAAACAGTACTCTGCTGACAGAAATGTCCTGACACATAAGCCTTCCTTATTCTGTGACATAGAACTTAAACATAGAGCAAGGTTATTGATTCTGTGTTTTTTGTTTTTATTTTTTGTATCATTGAGCATGCTAGGGGCCTGCTGCCCCAGTCCACACTGTAAAAGGCTTACTGACCTTTTTTTTTTTAAACATAGGTGTCCTCCTTCCAGAGCTAGTGGTCTCCATAGTGCTTCTGCTCAGTAAAAATGCTAGTCTAATGCAAGAGGCTGGAGCTATACCTCTGCTTGGCGGTCTCTTAGAGCACCTGGATCGTTTCAACCACTTAGCACCAGGAAAGGAGAGGGATGATCATGAAGAGTTGGCCTGGCCTGGAATTATGGGTATGCTATCTTCACTTACAGCGCTTTCACTGAGGGAACTGTTATTTTTGTTTGCTATAGCCCAGTCCTTCCTTTCTGATTGAAAGAATTTGAAAAAGGAAGTCTAATTACTGCTATTTTCATTGATGACCATATGAGTGGGAATAGAATATTATCCAAATAAGAGATTTAGGTTATATTTAAGAGAGATTTTTCATTTAGTAGTTAAATTCTGAAATTTAGAAAGTTTTCAAAAATCCTTCCCTGAGTGGTATTTCTAGAAGTTACTATTAGATGATTAGGTATAGAGTAGCCTGATGGGGCTGACTTTCTGAAGTCATTCATGATGTTTTGACATTGGTGAACAGAGAATTCTGTATTCAGTTGACTTTGTCTTTGTAGTCATGTCTGTTGTCGAAAATATTTAATTTAATCTCAGTCAGGAGCTTCTATCCCACCTTTTATTATTCACTTCCCAGATAAAAGACACACAACTTTAATATTTGTAATAAGCCTTAATCAACATTAAAGCTGGACAGATATTTACTCTCTGTGCTATTAGAATCTATTTCCCATTGATAACCCCATTTTATAATTTGTCATGATCCGTCTGGGCAGCTCTTAACTTTAATTGGGTACCCGTCATGGTCATATTTTTATGACTCACTTTCCCTATGGCGGCTTCCTTTTCTTTCCACCTTCTCCTCTCCTTGTAGTCTCCTCATACTCCAAACCCAGGGGACCTCCCCCAACCCCAATGTCTCTTCTGCTTAGTTACTGGCTTTCAGCATCTTTATTTAACCAACAGGAGCAAGGTCACACTGTACTAGTGGATAATGGTGGCTAGTATTTATCATTACAAGACATATCAAAAGTTCACACCTCATTAGTATAATATGTAGCAAGTTGAAACAAAGTTTTGACTTCTCCGGTTTTGAGCTGTGGAGTATTTGAAGCTGAGGCTAACTCATTGCTGTGTGTGACTCTGGTATCTTGGGCTCAGCATTAGCCAGAGTTTTGAATTGGTTTTCCTGAAAGCTTTTGCTAGCTAAGTTTTTCCTTTTCCCCTTTACATACTCACCATTACACTGCAAGCTCAAACCAGAGCTGACGGAACTCCTGAAGACAATTGTCGTGGATGTCAAATCAAGTTTTTTACATTTTTAGGAAATTTATTTTTAAGTGCAGTTATTTCAGTCCTATTTTTCTATTTGTATTTCAGAGTGAAATTAAGTGCTGCCCTTTTTGTTTTCTCTGCTAAATTTGAGTTAAGAGCGTGAATTTGACCAAATTTTACTTAAATCTTTTTTCTTGATGTTGTTTTTAAAAATCTTTTTATTATTATTTGTGTATGCATTGGTTAGTATGTTGAGTGATGGTGCATGTATGCTAGAGCAGGAAGGTGGAAGTCAAAGGACAATTTGGTGGAGTTAATTATCTCTTTACACATTTATGTGGTTCTGGGGATTGACTTTAGGTATCTGGCCTATATGGCAAGTGCCTTTATTTACTGAGCCATAGAGCCTGTAATGTTACACTAAGGATGTTTAAAAAAAACATATGGAAACATATTATTTTATAAGCTTCCAAAATACATGTATAATGTTCCTCTTAGTATCCAATGGTTGACAAATAAAAAGCCCAATGCCACTTGTGGGAAATCTTTTTTTAAGCTGTTGTTCACTGATGTCCTAGAGACCCCTCCAGAATGATACAGGCTATTGCTGTTGCTCTTGGTTGCCCACAAGAGTTTGGTGGTAAGACCCTGTTGTTGTCGATACTATACACGCTTATCACAGGATGTGGACGACTCAAGCTGGTACTGATCAAGAAGCTTCCTGCTGGGTAGCCATTATAGTACCTGAAGATATGTAGACTTGGGGTTGGGATGGGGATAGAGTCATTAACATTCTTAACCTAGTGATGAACCCTGTAAACTACAGTAACAATTAGTGTGGCAAGATAAAGCTACTGGGTACAAAAATGGCAGAGATGTTATATAGGGCTAACAGTTGTTCGTTGGCTTTAAGGCTTCTTCTTAGGAGGAAATGCATCTCTGGTACTGTTAAGTCTGGTCAGGGAGCCGTGGTTGAGGAGTTACTAGGAAACCACGGTGAACCTAGTACTATTGCTTTGCTAAATGGACACAGTATCAAATTTCCCTATAGTTCTCTTTCAGTACGCATGTAATCTACGGATAGCTCTCAGACCTTATCAGAGAAGTTTCTTTATATTGTGGATGGTAGTTGAGGAAGAAGCTTGTGACTGGTCAAAGTACAGAGCACAAGGTACAAGTGTCTGTGGAGTGTACAGCCACATATTGGATATCAGTCTGAGCTCCTACCCACTCTATGGCTCAAGAACCATTATGGGAGAGGATGTAGACATATGTCAAGAAACAGAGAGGTTTGGGAGGACCAGTGTGAAACAAGACATCTAGACACAGCAGAACTGTTGCACTACAAAACTCACAGCACCTGTGGTTGCTTATACAAGACCTGTGAAAGATGAGGGTATTCAACGTTGTAACATGGATTGTGAAGGGGTTTCTAATGCTTGACTCCTAACTGAGGAGCTATGGATAGTTAATGGTGTCACTTGCCTTTGAGGATGTGGCCTCTGGACTTCAGTAGAAGTCTCCATACTTATGAGTATATGGGTAACAAAAATTGGACTGGGTATATTATTAAAAACAAAAACCCCATGAATCTGAGTGGGAGTAGAGCAGATGGGCCAGCATCTGGGAGGAGTGGGGAGGGAGATGGTAAATGTGATAAATATACATTGTATACACGTATGAAATTCTCAGAAGAATTATTATAAATGTTATATTTAAGAATGGATTTTTCATATGATATACTTTGATCATATTCACTATATTTTCCTGCCTTATTCCATTCCCCATCCCACCAGACTCTTTCCTCCACCCCCCAATTAATCTTTTACCCACTTCCCTCCCTTTTCCTCCCCTCCCCTTCCCTTTCTTTCATGGCCCACTGCATTTAATTAGTGTTGCTTTCATGAGTGTTGGTAGGGGGTTATTTACTTAAGACAAAGGCCATAAGTGGCTAGACTATTAAATAACATGATTCCCTCTCTCCCAGCAGCTGCTAATTGTATTAACTGCCCAGGGAGAGATGGGGCCTTATGAACCTCTCTCTACCCATGATGTACTGTTGATAGGTCCAGTCTTGTGCAGGTAGTTGCCACTTCTGACAGTTCATGGACATAACAGTCAAGCATGTCTAGAAGATAGCTTCACAGCACTCCTTCCCATTCTGTCTTATCCCTTTTCTATCTCCCCTGCCACCTGAGGAGTAAAAGTGGGGGTTATATGTCCTGTTTAGGGCTGAACACTCAACAGTTACTCAAAACCGTTTTAAAACAACTTTTGTTTTACACATACTTATGTGTGTGCAATACACACACAAATACAAAGACTAGCTCTGTGTTTCCTCTCAGGGAAAGTTGTGTGACATCTGTCTAGGTTAAGCATGGAAACATGGCAGGGCTGTTATAAACAGGGCCTTATCTGGGAATGTTCCCTCTCCAGGATGAATGCTTATTACCATTTTATTATCAAGTAAAAATTGGCTCCTGAACAGTTTAGTTTTTAATTTTCTCTGTTCTTGGACCTCACATAAATAAAATTGTACAGTTATATCTTTGGGTCTGCCTTCTTTTTCCTCAGCATTAGGTCTCTTAGCTTCACGTCACCATCAAGTTCTATTTTTTCTTTTTTTTTTACTATATGTAATATATTATTATTGACCATTTTATTTATTAATTCTACTTGCTGATTCCAGGTGTAGGTTACAGCAAGTTTTGGCTTGTACAGTTGTGTGTTCCTTGGTGGAAGTGGTGGTTTCTAGATGATGCTTACTGCAAAATGACACATTTTTGTAGCTACTGTGCTTACTTTCATCTCCATTGCTCAGTTTGAGGACTTTTGTACTTCTGCATCAGGACCTGGCACTTGTCCTTTTGGTGAATATACTGTTGCATCTTGCTGTGGCTCCTTTTTCTCTCCCTTTTGTTTTTGGTGCTAAGGATGAAACCCAGGATCTTGCACACCCTTGGCAAAAATTTTACTACTGAATTATATCCCTAGTTTTTATAAAGATTTTTTTCAGATTGTTATTCAGGTTTAATATACTTCTTCATGTGTGTTAACCAGGTGAGCATCCTCTTTGCAAAGTGCCAACTCAAGTCTCATTCATATTTTTCTTCTTTTTAAAGTAATTATATACTTTGCATCCAATAAACCTTTGGCTTTATTTCTTGAAGATTTTTTTTCTTCTCACACTGTTTTCTGATGAACAAAAATGAATATTAATTTCATCAATTTCTTAATTTTGTTTGGTTGTTCATTGTGCCTTAAAAATGCTTTCCCTGAGCTGAGAAATGATTGGGGGGATAAAGCATGTGCACCTTTCAGGACAAAGTTTGGCTCTCCATCGTTCATATTTAAAAAGCCTGGTGATTGCCAGGTGTGAAGGTTCATTTCTTTAGTCCCCCATACTTGAGAGGCAGCGATCTGAGTCTGAGGCCAGCCAAGTCTATATAGTGATATGAGATCCTGTCTCAAACCCAAAAAGAAAAGAAAAAAAAAAGCCTAGTAGGTGTAATTCCAGCTTCTTGGAGATGGATATGGAAACCATCTGGGCAATCTGACTAGTTAAACTAGCCAATTAGCTTCAAACTCACAGTCAGTAATCAATTTGGTCGATTTTGGTCTAAGAAGACAACAGACAACATAATCCACCTCTGGCTTCCTTACACCTATGTATATATGGATAAATACATATACCTACACAGGTGGACATACATATGTGCAAACATGCACACCACACATCATAAATAAGTACAAAAAGTCTTTTCCTACTGGACATGTCATCTGTACTATGTTTTAAAAGTTTTACTGTTGGGACATTTGATCTGATGACTGCTGTTTGGTCTCTCTTTCTCTAGAGTCATTTTTCACTGGTCAGAACTGTAGAAACAATGAGGAGGTGACTCTGATACGCAAAGCTGATTTGGAGAACCACAATAAAGATGGTGGCTTCTGGACTGTAATTGATGGAAAAGTATATGACATAAAAGACTTTCAGACACAGTCATTGACAGGAAATAGTATACTGGGTAAGGCTTCACTTTCTATTCCATAGTTAAAAATTAAGTATGTGTGATTTAAGTAGAGTCCTTGGTTTATGAATAATTTCTTAAATTTAGCCCCAGGTTTAAAAACTCTGGGACTTTGGTTCTGTCTTCACAACAAGTTTAGGCTCAAGCTGAAGAATTTCTCATCATCATGCTTTTCTTCTTGTTGTTTGTTTTATTTTTATTTTTTTTTTTTGAGATACAAGTTTTCTCTGTGTAGCTCTGGCTGTCTTGGAATTCTTGTAGACCAGGCTGAACTGGCACTCAGAAATCTGTCTGTGTCTTGCTTCCCAAGTGCTGGGATTAAAGGCAGGCACTACCATGCCCAGCCTCCCATTATTCATTTTTATTTTCTAGTACTTTGTAGAACTTGTTCTAAGTTCCTGAGTTGCTCCAGGCAAGCCTGAGAGAGTGGCAGATTCTTCCGTGCCAGCGACCCAGACTCACTTCCTGTCTGTTGTCCAAACAAATTGCATTGAACTCATACTGCTGTTTCCCTTTTTGTTTTAGCTCAGTTTGCAGGGGAAGATCCAGTGGTAGCTTTGGAAGCAGCTTTGCAGTTTGAAGACACACAGGAATCCATGCATGCCTTCTGTGTTGGCCAGTATTTGGAGGTGAGGCTGTTTGCCTGCTTTGTGTTAAATAGAGGAGGTGCCCTTCTTATGTGCCTGTTATGGTATGACTTTTTACCTAGTTATACTAATAGTTGGACATAAAATGTTTAGTTGGATTAGGGTTTTTTTGCTAAATGAATTTGCATTTTATGTGTTAAGGTTTATTATATACAAGTTTTGAAGAGTTAACATCATGCCAGAAATAGAGAAATGTTCCTCCTCAAAAAAGACATTAAACTTTGGCCTTACAGTTTGTAGAATCTTGCCCCCATACCTGAGACAGGGTTTCTCTTTGTGTTACCCTGGCTGTCTTAGAATTTGATCTGCAGAGCAGGCTGGCTTCAAACTCACAAGAGATCCACCTGTCTCCACCTCCTGAATGCTGGGATTAAAGGTGTATGCCATCACTGCCTGGTATATAAAAATTTAGAAAAGCTTGCTGTCATACAAAAAAGTGATAGAACTGTAATTTTTTTGAAAGAAATATGTCCTTGTCGTAAGTTAATGAATATTGGAGTTTATATATTTGAATTGACCTTCCAGACATCCAGAGGTAGCAAAAGTCAGCAAATGCCATAAATGAGGCTTAAGCCGTTTTATTATGAAAGGGAGAATGAACTTCATGCATTGTCTGACTTGACTGGAAAGTTTATGTAGTACACCTGATTTGTTTTTCCTACACAGAATGACTGGTTTCATGACCATGTGTGGCCACAGCTTACTATTCTATAATGATACTGCTGCTATGTTTACTGTTGTCATTTCTCATTGCTTCTGTGCACTCAGTGATTCGTTGTCCTTTCCTGAAACATTACATACAGCCATTTTGAAATATCTGTTGGATTCTTGAAGGGGATATTCTAGTTCAGTTATTTAATGATGGCTCTCTTTCACGGCCCCAGAGCTGTTACTCGTTTTCTCCTGTTTGCTCTCTAGTGTTTTATATGTAAATGATTGCTCTAACAGAAACTCATTACAGGATGTAGTAACAAGTACCTTTTTGTTCTGATTGTGGTAGTAGATCTTAGGCACATAAGCTGCTAGTCTTTTTTGATGTTGTAATTTTAATTAATTTTGTTTTCTGTACCAACAAATTAATTTTTCCAGCCTGACCAAGAAGTTGTTACCATACCAGATCTTGGAAGTTTGTCTTCACCTCTGATTGACACCGAGAGGAACCTGGGCCTACTTCTTGGATTGCATGCTTCCTATTTAGCAATGAGCACACCACTATCTCCTGTAGAGGTTGAATGTGCTAGTAAGAAAAAAACAATATTTTTTATTAACCAGTTTTGAGATGCAATACTTTAGACAGAAATGTGTAGTGGGAAGGACATGCTGAGGAGGGCAGGAACCTTTAGAGTGGATGTATGGAGACGACAAGATAGCCGCCATGCCTACTAAGCTGCCTGTGAACTAGACTGTACTACTTGTATTCTCCCTGACACTTGTCATACTAATGGAAGATGAGTTTACCTAAGTCAGCAAAGTAGGAGCTTGAAGACACTAGGGTTAGAGGAATAGAAGGCACTGTGCAATCTGGCAGGAGGGGCCCTTCCCACTGCCAGGTCAGAAGCTTGTCTTTGGGGGATAAAAGGTGCTTGCTTATTTTTTGCATAGAGCAAGGTGATTAGGGTCAGCTCAGCCTGTGTTTTAGAAGAATTGATATAGCTATTTGTGAAAGTTCCCCAGTACTTCAAATCTAGATATCCAGTAAGAGCACTGAAAGCATCCTAAATTTGATTGCTGGAGTGATTACCAGATTAGGTTAGATTTATTGATAAATTAAGTCCTCAATGAAAACCTGCAGTGATGTGCATTCCAGTAATTTTCTAGTGGGGTTTCCTTCAGTGAGACATAAGCAGCTATAATTAATATTCCTAATTGCCACAACAAAAGGTGTATTCCTGTCAGACTTGCCTGATCCTGCATCTCACACATGGAACAGTACACATAGCTCTTCTTTCCAGTCTTTTGCTTTCCCATTAGTAAGATTTTTTTTTTTTGATTGTGGATTTGTTGTCTTGTTTCTTTAGTTTTATGAACAATTCAGATTGAAGATGGTCTTTATCTTATCTTTCAGGCATGCTGTTTCTTATCTGCATGCTCAGCATCTTTGTCTTATTCTAGAACTCAGAATGCTCAGTTGTCATTTCCTCTTCCTTTAGTATAGTGGTGATTTTCTGCCTTCATGTACTTGATATGCCTCTGCTATCTTCCCTTCACAACTGGAGTTGAGTGCTTCGTTGTGTAAGGGGAGATTTGTGGCTTACCCATGTGAAAGTATACTATCCGAGTCTTCAGATGGTGTGTTACCTTAACAAATCCTCAGTAAATCCAAGTAACATGACTTACAGGCCCATTTGGCTACATTATGCATGGTGAATGAGATTAGCTGGTAATACAGAAAGTCTGAGTGTGATTTAGGAGTGAAGTTTAGGCTTTTGTAGCAATTGTTCTCTCTATGACTAATCTGGATCCACTAGGCACTATATTTCTTCCATGGGCACAGCCACAGTGACTACCTGAGGTCCTTCCACTGGGCCCACATCTTACAGATCTCATCACATCTTAGTGTCACAATATTGGGGACTAAGCTCCCTATATAAGAATACTTTGGGGACGTGTTGAAGCTGTTTCCAAACCAGAGCACACAGACTTGTGAAGCCTGCACTGGGTTCTAGTGCCATGCATTTTAGTTCTGTTCCTGTTGTCAGATAAAAACCTGGCCTTGAGGGTAAGAAAAGGCTTATTGGCTTACAGTTGCTGGTTACAGTCCATCATTATGGGAAAGTCTAGGCAGGAACTTGAAGTAGCTAATCACTCACACAGTTGAAAGCATAGAGAAAATAAGTACATTCATGCTTACTGCACAACTCACTGTCTGCAATTTCAGTCTAAGACCCAAATCCTGAGAATGGGGTCACTCACGAGCCTAGGTCTTCCCAGGTCAGTAGATGCAGTGAAGGCCATCTGTCAAAAATGTTCTAGGGTCCATCTGATCTAGACAGTCTTATAGGAAGTCTCTTCTCAAGTGATTCTACTTTGTGTCAAGATGATGGTTCAAACTAACCATCACATCATCCTTGGGCGTAATGGGCAATCAGAAACTTCTAGTGTAGAGAAGATAAGTATGTTAGTAACTTAAGATAAATGATACTGAATTTCCTTTTTAAAATTGAATATTCAGTTCAGGATTTTATTTTATTGCGTGTATTTCTGAAGCGGTCACTTCAGTTTCTCTTTAATGAATACTTATACATTTTCCAGAGTGGCTGCAGTCATCGATTTTCTCTGGGGGTCTGCAGACCAGCCAAATTCACTACAGCTACAATGAAGAAAAAGATGAGGACCACTGTAGCTCTCCTGGGGGCACACCCATCAGCAAATCCCGACTGTGTTCTCACAGATGGGCCTTGGGTGATCATTCTCAGGCATTCCTGCAAGCAATCGCAGACAATAACATCCAGGACTACAATGTGAAGGTGAGCTAGGTTCTTCTGACGTAGCTAGCATTCTGTATCTTCAACACAGCACAACTTTGTGTTATTTGGGGATTTAGTTTTGAGGTGATAAATTGATTCTCCATTCATAAAAGTGAGATATAGATCACCTGTTGCAAAAAGTTGGGTAAAAGCTGTGGAATGTTAGGGTTTGTGAAGATTTACTCATGGCTCTGAGGTACCTCTGACCCTTCTTCTCACAGGACTTTCTGTGTCAAATTGAAAGGTACTGTAGACAGTGCCACTTGACCACACCAATCACGTTTCCTCCTGAGCATCCCGTGGAAGAGGTTGGCCGTCTTCTGTTATGCTGCCTCCTAAAACATGAAGATTTAGGTACAAACCTCAGTATTTATGTGTTTTAATTACATTGTAGACCTTTTAAATGGCATGCTTTATACATTAATTCTTACCTTGCCTTTTACAAAATGTCTTTTACAGGTCACGTGGCATTATCTTTAGTTCATGTAGGTACACTTGGTATTGAGCAAGTAAAGCACAGAACATTGCCTAAATCTGTGGTGGATGTGTGTAGAGTCGTCTACCAAGCAAAATGCTCACTCATTAAGGTGATTGGATTTTAATTCTTTTTCTGTGCTGTGTAGACAGTTGCCAAATTCTTACTGTTAAATCCATTTCCCTATTTATCTTGGCAGACTCATCAAGAACAGGGCCGTTCCTACAAGGAGGTGTGTGCTCCTGTCATTGAACGCTTGAGATTTCTCTTCAATGAATTGAGGCCTGCTGTTTGTAGTGACCTCTCTATAATGTCTAAGTTTAAGCTGTTAGGCTCATTACCCCGTTGGAGGAGGATAGCTCAGAAGATCATTCGAGAAAGAAGGAAAAAGAGAGGTAATAATGTAAAAAGTTAGAATATATTGTTACAGTGTATTCTTTCTAAACCTTTGGCTAAGTCTGTGATTTCAGAGGGAAGTTTTTGATAACTGGCATGTATCAGAATACCTGTGGTATTTTCATGTATTGTCATAGTATTTATGTATATTTGTGATTGAATGCAACAGTCTTGATTATTTTAGTAAGTTGATAAGAAAAATTCGTGACATTATCCTGGTAATGAGATTATTGGAACATTTCATCTTATGATTTGATATTATTACTTTTATAAGAAAATCTTTTGTTGTTGTTTTGAAGTACTGAGTATAATAGTTTCCCTCTATCTTACATATTGTGCTGGGTATTACCTGTTGTTTTGAGGACCTTGAGTGGGTGCAGGTGATATCAAGTGCAGTAAATTGGGCTCAGTATGAGATGACTGTAATAATAAAGCACAATAATTACTGTTGAATATAGTGAGCTTACCTGGATATAGTAATTCTTTCCTCAAACTCAAGACAGATACAAGTATTTCTGGACCACAGTTGACCATAAGAATTGACACTGTGGAAAGTGCGGTCATAGCCAGATCTCAGGCTTGTCTTAAACTCAGTTATCTCATGTCTCTGGAGACCCTGACTTCTTTTTGTGTGTCTAGATTTACTGTGTGATGTTAGAAGCTGGTTTCCTCCCTTTCTTTCTTCTTCTACTCCATTCCAGTCCTTTCTTTCCTTCTTTCCTTTTTCTCTCCCCTTATCCATTTCCTCTTCTTCACCTCCCATTTCTTCTTCCTTCTCTTCTACACCCTTCCTCCTACTAACTTCTCCCTTTTTTCCTCCCCAATCCCTTTCTCTTTTGCCTTTTTCTTTCCCCTATTTTCTGTCTTCCTTTCCTTGCCCTCCATTTCTTTCCTTTCCTTCTGTATTCCAACTCACTTTTAATGAAATTAACCTGTAGAAATGGCTGACGATGCTGGTATTGAGCCATGTCCCCAGTGCATTGTCAGACTTGATAACATGCACTCATGCTGACAGTTAGGATTTATCACTGCAAAAGGATACAAAAGGGTATTAACAAAGGTGAGGATATATGTGAGGAAGATGAGAGCAAATCAGGCACAGCTTCCAGTGCATCCTTGCTATGGGATCTCGTGTGGACCATCTTAGTTCTCACAGTGCTATGTCTATCAGGAAAACTTCTTGAACCTTGGTGTCTAACATTTCTGTTGACTGTAAGATCCAGTAAGCAGGCAGGACTTGTGTGACTTGTTACTCAGATTCCAATGCTCTAGAGCAAAATTAGATGATCTCTTTAAGTCACAATCTAATATCACCTATCCAGGTGTCTTAGTTAGGGTTTCCATTGCTGAGAAGAGACACCATAACCAAGGCAACTCTTAAAAGGGACAACATTTAATTGCGGCTGGCTTACAGGTTCAGAAGTTCAGTCTATTATGGTAGGAAGCATGGCAGTGTCCAGGTAGACACAGTGCTGGAGAAGGAATCAAGAGTTCTACCTCTTGATTAGATGGCAGTCAGGAGAAAACTGGCTCTTCTGCCTTTGGTGGAGCTTAATCATAGGATCTCAAACCCCACCAGCACAGTGATATACTTCCTCTAACAAGGCCATACCTATTCTAACAAGGCCACATCTCCTAATGTGCCATTTCCCATGGGCTAGCATATTGAAACCACCACACCAAGTAAACTGGTCACATGGCCCTAGGATTCAGGTACATGAAAACATTCTTTCAGACACGTGGCTTCACTATGTAGCCTAGGCTGGTCTTAAGTTTATTTTTCTGACTCTGTCTTTGTGGTTGTGTATTATAGGGATATTCTACCAAACACAGCCAAAACACTCTTAATGGGAAGCTATTCTTTTTTCCTTTCTTTCTTTCTTTCTTTCTTTCTTTCTTTCTTTCTTTCTTTCTTTCTTTCTTTTTATTCTCTCATATGTTACATTCTGATCACAGTTTTCCCCTCTCCCCTTTTTCCCAGTCCATCCTCTTACCTCTCCTCTCCCCAAGATCCACTCCTCCTCTTCTTTTAGGAAAGGATAGGTCTCATAGGGTTATCAACCAAACATGGTATATCAAATTATAATAAGAAAAAGGAATTATAATTTCCACTTATATTATGGTTGGACAAGGCAACCCAGTGGGAGAAAAAAATGTCGTCAAAGCCGGCAAAAAAGTCAGAGACAGCCCCACTCAAGAACACCAAGCTACAGAAACATAATATACATGTAGACGACGTAGGTCAGACCTGTACAGGCTCTCTGAGAGTGCCTATGAGCCCGGGTATAATTCTGTGGGCCATTTTCTTGTGGTGTCTTTCACCTTCTGGCTCCTACAATCCTTCTTTCCTTTCTTGTGCAGGATTCACTAATGTTTAGCTGTGGGTCTCTGCGTCTGGTCCCACGATTTGCTGGATATAGCCTCTCAGATGATGATTATGTTCGACTCCAGTCTACAAGTATAGCACAGTATCATTAAGAATCATTTCATTGACTTTTGTTTTTGACAGTTGAGTTTGGTTCTATCCTAGGTCTCTGGGCTATCCAGCCTCTGGTTTCTGGCTATCCAAGCAGTGTCAGGGTTTCTTCCCCCTCCTGTTGTTGGATTCAAGTTGGACTTGTGGCACTACCACAAGTACTGTGCCACTTTTATCCTAGTGGACCTTGCTGGCAGGACAAATTGTAGGTTAAAAGTTTGGTGGCTGGGATGGTGTCCCAGTCCTACTGGAAGCCTTGAGGAGACTATAGTTGGGGCTTAGTGCTTATGCATCTTTTCCTTCCTCCCTTCCTCCCTTCCTCCCTTCCTCCCTTCCTCCCTTCTTCCCTTCCTCCCTTCCTCCCTTCTTCCCTTCCTCCCTTCCTCCCTTC